CTCACCCTCACGGAACAAGCTGAACTAGAGAAATTCATCGAAGAAAACATGAGAAAGGGATATATCAAGAAATCGAAATCCCCATTTGCTTCGCCATTTTTCTACATTCCAAAAAAAGATGGGACACTCCGACCAGTCCAAGACTACAGGGCCCTCAACGAAGGAACAATCCGAAATGCATACCCACTCCCACTGATCAGCGACCTAATGGATAAGCTTAAAGGGGCCAAGTACTTCACCAAGTTGGACGTACGAGCTGGATACAACAATATTCGAATTAAGAAAGGAGACGAATGGAAAGCCGCGTTTATAACCCCCAAAGGACTGTATGAGCCCACAGTAATGTTCTTTGGACTATGCAACGCCCCAGCAACCTTTCAAAGCATGATGAATCAAAACTTCGAGGACCTCATTCGCGAAGGATGGATGGTTATCTACATCGACGACATTCTAATCTTCTCCAATGACTTAGAAGAACATCACAGGAGAACGCTAAGAGTTCTCAAAAGAATTCAAGAACTAGACTTCTACCTGAAACCATCCAAATGCGAATTTGATAGACAAGAAGTAGAGTTCCTCGGATCAATCATACGCCCCGACGAAATAGCCATGGATCCAGTAAAAATCAAAGCAGTACTGGAATGGAAGCAACCAACCAAACTGAAAGAAGTACAGGCCTTCCTAGGCTTTGGAAATTTCTACAGGCGATTCATCAAGGACTACTCAAAAGTGGTCAAACCATTGACATCGCTAACGCGAAAAGATGCTCCGTTCAAATGGGACGAAGACTGTGAAGCAGCCTTTCAAGAGTTGAAGCATCGGTTCACGACCGGACCAATCCTCAAGATGCCGGATCCCTACGAACCATTCCAAGTAGAATGTGACGCGTCCAAAGTAGCAACAGGAGCAGTACTACGCCAGAAAGGAGTGGACGGAATATGGCACCCATGCGCATATCTATCAAAGTCGTTCACAGAAGCAGAATGAAACTATCAGATCTACGACAGGGAATTACTCGCAATCATTCGAGCATTCAAAGAATGGCGACATTTATTGCAAGGATCACCACACCCAGTAGAAGTCATCACAGACCACCAGAACCTAACGTATTTCCGCTCCGCGCAACGCTTAAACCCAAGACAAGCAAGATGGCATCATTACATGAACGAGTTCAACTTCACGTTGAAACATCATCCAGGAAAAACAATTGCGCAAGCCGACACTCTGTCCAGGAGAACAGATCATGAACAGGGGGAGGATGATAACAAGGACATGATCATGCTACCGGAACAAATTTTCTCACTTAACTCCGTCCAAGTTGACATCTCCCAACAAATCCGAAACAACAAAGCCCGTGACCCGGACCTAATACAATTCCTGACAACAAAAGCAACTGACAAACCATGACCTGCCTGGGGCAAGCCGAGCGATTGGAAAGAAGAAGGACTGTTGCTATTCAAGGAACGTATCTACGTACCACCTGACGAAAACCTCCAGCGCAACATTGTCAAAACCTATCACGAGCCAGCGGTAATGGGCCACCCTGGGATTCAAAAGACTTTCGAGCTAGTCAAAAGAGACTATATATGGGACGGAATGCGTAACTTCATCACCGAATATGTAAAAGGATGCGCAAAATGCCAAACCACCAAAGTCAACACCCACCCAACTAAAACAGGATTATTTCCGATCCCACACAGCGGGAACACTAGGCCGTTTAACGTCATAACCACCGACTACATCACAGATCTACCAGAATCAAACGGATACAATGCAGTCCAAGTAGTCGTCGACCACGACGTTACAAAAATGGCCATCTTCACGCCATGCACAAAAAATATCACAGCATAAGGAGCAGCAAAACTACTATGGGACCAAGTCTTCAGCCGATTCGGAATCCCCTCTAAAATCATCTCTGATCGAGGCCCTCAATTCGCAGCAGGAGCGTTCAGGGAACTCCACCAACTGATGGGAATGGAAACGGCGTTAAGCACGGCGTACCACCCGCAAACCGATGGTCAAACAGAACGAGTAAACCAAGAACTGGACCTCGCTTTGCGTCTCTATTGCGGCAATAACCCAAACGAATGGGCGGATCACCTCAAGGAATTCGAATACGCGCACAATCAACGCACACATTCAGTAACAAAGAAATCGCCGTTCGAACTACTCTATGGTTATCAATCACAACTAGTCAAACTCCCACAGAAGAACCCGAAATACCCAAGCACGGAAGAACGGCTCTCCGCCCTCCGAGCTGACCAAGAAAATACAATTGCAGCCCATAATCACGCAGCCGCGGCAATGGCACGAAGATCACCGGGACAGCTCATCTCATTCAAGAAGGGAGATAAGGTCCTTCTAGAATCAACCAACCTCCGTCTCCCATATCCACACTGGAAACTGGCACCTAAACGAGAAGGACCCTTTGTTATCACTGAAGTCATGGGACCCGTAACGTTCAAATTAAACCTACCATGCACTTGGAAGATTCATCCAGTCTTCCATGCCGCGCTCCTGACTCCATATCGAGTCACCAAAGCACATGGCCCCGACCTGCCACGTCCACCTCCTGACGTCATAGACGGCGAAGAAGAGCATGAAGTGGAAGCTATTCTTAACCACCGAATGAGGGGACGCAAACGAGACAAATTGGAATACCTGGTGACGTGGAAGGGCTGGGAGTCAGCGGAAAACTCATGGGAACCCGAGCACCATTTGAAGAACATGCCCGATATCCTGAGGGTATATAAGAAGAGACATAAGCTCCCCTGACCCTCATCCCACTCTCACCTCGAATGCGATTCTCCAGATGCCTCACCACCACCGCTCTACTCCTCGTCGCGCTCCCCGCCTCTATCCCATCCGCCTCACTATGCCGGACATCCACGACACTCCCGACTTCATCAACAACCGCCCCCAAGTCAACTACGACCACCTTCCAACTCTCTATCGCACTAACGAGAGCTGAGGGACCCTCGGGGACCGCATCGGGTGGACCGTCGCCCACTCCGAGCTCCATGGCCACGTCCGCTACCGCACCCAACACATCCTCCACACCGAGCCCCTTGTCAACGAATACCGCATCGCGACCGAAGCCTTCGACGTCTGGAAGAAGGTCGACAACTTTGTGCAACGCGCCGGAGCCCCGGCCAGCCAGAAGGCAGAAGCCAAGGACGCTTCCCTGACCCTCCGGGCCCTACTCGTACGAGCCACCGACGTCGCCCTCGACCAGCTCACTAGTATCGAGGTCGTGGCTGCCCTCGACGACCTACTCCCCACCAATCAGCAGCACCTTCCCCCCTGGGGAAACATCCCGTCCGACATTGTAGAATGGGGATCCCCCAGCGAGCCCGCTCTCGAAGATCAAGTCCGCAACCAGGCCGCCTGGAACGCCCTCACGCCGGTGAACACGGGCACCACAGACGATCTCCCACCCCTCATGCCTGTACTTGACCTTCCCACCGCGGTAACGCGCGCCCAAGACACCTCCACGCCGCAGCCGCCTCCTTATACGCAAGACGACGACTCCAACAAAGAAAACCAACCCCCAGTCACCACCACCGACCTCCTCGCAGCCCAGTCCCTCCTCATGGTCCACCGCAACTGGGTCCGAGCGCAGACCGTGAACGCGGAACCCGGAGTTCAGTTTGGAGTCTTCAACCTTCCCCCCGGAACTCTCGCGAGCTCCTCACACCTCGCCCTCACCGGGCCCGACGAGTCCCCACGCCCACGCCACCACAACACCCTCGACGACATCTTCGCCGAGCTTGAGGCGGAAATCATCGACTTCCATGACGATGAACTCGTTCTCGTTCACCCCCCTCCGCACACGCCTCGGTGGCGCGTCCAAGCGGGAACAGGTCAGTATGTCATCACCGCCCACGTCGGCATCGACCACTACCTCGGCGCGCGTCTGGACTCCTGGCCGGAGCTGTTCACCCCCGCACGTCTCTATGAATACCTTGAGATCGGCTTCCCCCAAGTGCACGCGAAGATTCGACACGACCTACACCTTCTAGTTGCTGAAGCCATCGCCCAGCACATCGACGCCCCGTGCGACGAAGTCATCGAGAACCGGATCGTCGACACCCAACGGTGGAACGCCTACCGCGAGAAGTTCGACCAACCCACCATCACCATACTCCGGAACTACGAGGGTCCTCACCTCGCGATCCAGGAGTACGTCGATCGGGTGTCGATTCAGATCGCCTCGGACCTCACGGCTGTCGGCATCGGGCACGCCCCCGCGGACGCGACAACGTCGACCACCACGTAGGAGGTCGGGACGACCCTCTCCGGGAGAGGGAGCTGATGTTACGATTGAGGACGCCAGTGCGTTACCCCATTTAATTTCTATGCATAACCCCACTCCCCCGATATGTACACTCTCTAAACACCTACTAAATATCTCCGACTCGTACGGACTCATCCCGATTCACGCTGCTACACCATGACTCGTCGAACGCCCCTAGTCATCGTAGGTCATGGGTGACTTGAGACATCTCATACGGACTCGTCGTGACTCGCAGTTAATATGACTCCCCCACTCTCCACATGTATATAAGGACGACGCCTCTGAGCGCCCTCTCCCCAGACTTGAATCTCCTCTTGTACTACTACGTCTACCTAACTACGCGCAATCTCACTCGTTGTCGCTCGCACTCGCTCGACAGCACGCAAGCGCTCTGAGCATCGCCACCATAACCACAAGGTGCCTAGGTCGTATTCCAGCTGGAATAAGCCCTCAGACGTAACAGATTACGCACATCCTGAGGACTGAGGCATCATTACCGGTACCGGAAGACTTCACCGAGCCTGAGCCGGGGAAGGTGTTTCAAGTTCCGGAAGGGCGCTTCCACCTCTTGCGCGGTCTGTATAAGCCCACTGCCGATCATATCCCGGGTCAATACCGAGCCCTCCTTTGTGATGACGTCACCGAGAACGCACCCACCAACATTACCGAAACCGGTAAGCCTACGCGTCGCAAGAAGGGCAAGATGGCGAAGCGTGGCAGAAGTGGAAAAGGAAGGGCAACTGTTTCTGACGAGGACGACGAAGACAAATTCTTCGAGGAGGAGGCTGATAAGGAGGACCGGGAAGAGGATGAGTTCGACGAGCTCCGATCCGGTGATGGTGGCCACGACGACTCCGACGACAACACCGCGAGCGACAAGGAGGATCAGGAGAACGAAGAAGAAGATGAGGATGGCGACGGTGATGAGGTTCGGAAGTCGCTCGGTATTGACGAGACACCCACTGGTGCGTCGGAAGACTATGACGGCCCAGGGTACGTCGAAGTCAGGACACCACCGCCGTCAGGCCTCCGTTCGCCGGTTGTGCGTCGAACAACCGTACTTCCGGCGGTGCGTCCGGCACCGTACGGTGTCAAACCCGGCGGGGTCGTCCCGTTCCTCGAGAGCTTGTGCGCCGAGACGCAGTACCAGAACCTCCTGACCCGTGTAGCCAAGGCGGTGAGTGGGCGACTTCAGTGCCGAAGACATAATAATAATATCACTATCATAGCTCGAGACGAAGGTGGACATTCCACCCATTCCACCCGCTCCGTGGGCAACATGGGCTAACGTCCACGGGTTTGTTGGCCATGATCTCTACAACGACGCACAAGAGATGGTCCGACTGCTCGACTGGATCGGCGATGAATCGGTCCGCGAGGATCTTGACCGCGTCTCGGTGCAAAGGATCTGCTTGGTGTTTGGACTCCTTGCCCGAGACTCGCGTCAAGCGAACGACTTCCGAGAGGAGTCCCCTCCGCCGGAATTCGACAGCGGAGATGATTTCGGGCAGAGCGCCTTGACGCTATTGCGTTGCGGCGCAAGTAATCTCCTCAAAGGATCCTTCCCTGAGCGCATGAATGTCCTCTGCGATATGATGGAGCTGACGCTCGAAGCTGGGTGGAAGCCGAAACGGACCGGTCCAATGCCACGCCCGGTGAAGAAGAAGGGAAAAGCTGCGGACAACGGTGAGTGCTTCGGTAATAAGGGCTACAATGTCTCATGGCTTATAACCAGCACCGCTAATCCATCTAGGTGCTGGACCATCCTCCTCGACATTGCCCGGCAATGGAACAGCTGACGAAACCGAGGGAACCACTGGCATGAAGGTCGCGGGGGCTGCGCCGAAGGAAACTGCAAAGCACCTTCAACAACCGCCGGTATAGTTCACAGTCACTCGGCATAACCAGTGTGCTAACGTGACTTATCTAGCGGCGGTCCACCCGTGCAGTCCAGATCACTGCCGCCGGGCTCGCGGCGGGTGTCAAGATTACGTCCACTCCGCCAACCGGAGCAGTTGGTGCAGCCGCACAGGCGCCCGGTACTTCGTCCGGTAATGATAGAGAGCAGACGCAGCGGACAACGCGTCAGAGGTCCGGGACGGCAGGTGAAGGTAGCCAAGTTCGGAAGCGGACGAAGACAAAGCAGTGACGATTGTTTTATTGTAATATCTGCATATATTTGCGCTGTAACGTGTATTTGACGATGAGTTCCACCTTGTGACATCTTTTTCAAAGTCCACGACTGATAACAGCGTCCATTACCGAACGCATTAGCGACTGAATGTCCGATTCGGCAGTCGTCGACATGTCCTCCCCACCCCATACCCTGACCATCTCCCGGCGATTGTACCAGGAAATCGCGACCCGAGTCTCCTCCACTTCCGGTACTCCGTGTTCGACGTATTTAGCCAGGATGATGGCAACAGTACCAGGTGAGTATGGGACTGAGTAACCAAGGCCGCGCAGTCCAAGATATGCCTGGTCACCATAGTTGCCGACGGTGACCAGGAGGTCGTACCACAGGTGGAAACTGTTCTGGTCACGGTGATATGTGGTCTTCCGGTTCCATATGATCTGCAGCGCAATACCGGTCACCGGCCAAGGAATGTGTGGGGCGATGTGTTCATTCAGAAACTCCATGATTTGCCGGTACTGTTTTGGAGCAACGATTTGCATCACCGCGTCGAGGATAGCACCGACTTCGGTAATGCGTTCCAGCCATTCCTGCACTTCGCGCTCGGCGAAGCCCTTGGAGGGTTGTGGACCGTTTCGTCCCTGCAGAATATTTTTAGTGATACCAAAGCGACTGTATTAAAGTGCGTACTCCTTGAGGAACCATCTGCGGTGCGATACTGAGAAGACCACAGAGTGTGTGTTTGTCGTGCTTGAAGTTCTCCTTCCAGAGGCGCCATGAATCGGTGTTCGGTGACGGCTTGTCTAGAATTGGAGCAAGGCCGTCCGTTGACCGCCATAGCTCTGTCTTGGATGAATGTTGATTAACAAGTTATAACATACATCTCAATGTTACAAACCTGTATATCCACTGGGAGGAGGTCGGGAAGAATCCATGCGAGAATGACACCGTCGGAATCGGCGATGGTAGCTGGGACATTGATTGCCGGTGGAATACCGGACTCTCCCGGCGGCTCTACCGGAAATGCATCTTTCAGCCGGTCTTTCTGCTGCTCAGTCGCTACACCGCGGGTCTTCGGAGTCATCTTCATGTACTCCTCTAGCTTCCAGTCCACGTTATCTAACGGAACCTCAGTCGCGGGTATGCACGTGTAAAAATAAGAGGACTTTTACATTGGCAGCTGCATGCGGCATGAATGCGATCGGCGGCTTGAAGAACAGCAGCAAATAATCGGTGTTGCAGCCCACCAGGACACCCAATCTCGCGAAAGGGGTGGACTTTATCACTTGCAGTGTATCGCAAACGCGTGGCCAATGCCTCTTGCATGGTGTGAAGAATGAGGATGTGGAGATCACTCCCCGGTCGACTGTTGTTGTTACTCGACATGATGGTAAGGATCACGATGAAGATGTTCTGAGCATGTTTCACGAGCCGTCTTCTATCTGTTGCATCCTGAACGACAATAGTCACGATTGCGATCGATTAGACAATATGTTGCACACCGGTAACGGATGTTTGCTCCGGCATTGAGGAAGCTGATCGGTGTTCGAGTGCGGTAGTCCAAACTGTCACCGGAAGTGTCCATGACACGCTCGGCATTGGACATCTCGGCACTCAGTCTGCACGCTGAAAGTGTTGTGCCCTCTCGAATGTTCAACACGTACGAAGGGAGTGCACATTCAACGCGTACGAATGGATCACAGAGGTAATCTATTGCGAATATTGTCAGCGTATAAATTCCGTCGCGTCAACTGCGGAACAGTATCGTACGCAAAGGTTCGATGTTGCTGTGAGAGCGACTGTGAGCTTCTCAAGCACTCTCTTACCTCCCACAAATGTTTTCTCATGTGGTGTAACGGCTTTCCTTCCTACAGATGGGCAATGTACATATGCAACAATCGGTATGCGTTCAACTGTATGTCAAACCAGCAATCACGTACTCGAATGACTGGCTGAATGAAAGAGATATCGTCAATGGCACATATCGTTCATTTTGTGACATTTGTTCTAAACCCATGAAACATAGTATAGCGCAGCGTGTGAGTACAAAGGGAAGTGTGTAACCTCAGATAATGGACGCCGTATGCCGCTGCGTTCCAATGCCGAAAAAACCTCGGTGATCGGAACAGGTTGTGGTGAGATATGGCACATTGTTGCGTTTGAGAGAGGGAACAGGATGTGAAGCCAGACGACTTCATGGCAAAGCACTGTGTGGGCCCCAATTGCATATCTCCACCAGTTCGAATCCGTTCAACATCATGTTTGCTGCATAATGTACATACCTTCCATGTGAACATGTTCCAAATGCTTCTATTATAAAATATTGCATGGAGTCATCACCAATGCATATGTTGTGAAATAAAGACATATGCAACAGTGGACGCAGTTCGATAGAGAACTTCGTGAAACTGGGCGACTTCGTTCTAACGGTGATTTAAAATATCCTAAAGTTGTTGTCTCATACTAGGAACGCCTGAATCTTATGAGGGACAGATGTGTGCTTCTCTGCTACACCAAAAACAGTATGTATGTTTGCCATGCATTGGCAGGTGCGAGCACTCCCTGTTTTATCCAGAGCCATTAGCCAAACACGATAAGGGGCTGATCTGGTACCCTCCATCTGTGAACGAGTACGCCAGCGTATGGTGATCTCTATGTCATTTTTTCATGACATATCTCGGGGGCGGTGATCGCCTTTCGCTAAACCTACCAAAGTTGGCCACACACACTAGAACATTGTGCCACATCGTCCAGGGAGGTCGGCATGGGTGTATCTAACTTTAGAGTGTATGTACATGCGTGCTCAGCAGGCTGGACAGAAAAGCGCCCGTGCAAGTAGAGGTGCCCACGGACTACTTCGTTTGGGATAAAGTGTCTTCAAAAATACGGCTAGTCGGCACAGGCACACTTTACAACGTTTAGCAAAGACCGCAGAAGTGATTGGTCTTTGCCGAAGTCGCTGCGGCACTCTGAGTCCCCGTCTAGGATTTACTACCGACAGGGGTAGGGACTGTTACTGGGGTGCTCCGAGATTACCGAGCAGGGAACACGGCGTTCGGTAATGGGTCCAGAAACTCGGCACTCACGCTCGGAAATTGATCGCTGTCTCCGAATGACTGCCGACATAGGTCGGGAGTGTTACCGATAGTGCTCCCGGAATACCGAACGAAGAATATGGCCGTTCGGTAATGAGTCCTAGAACTCGGCATTCATGCTCGGAAATTGATCGCTGTCTCCGAATGGCTGCCGACCTAGGTCGGGAGTGTTACCGACAGTGCTCCCTGAGTGCCGAACGAAGAATATGGGCGTTCGGTAATGAGTCCTAGAACTCGGCACTCACGCTCGGAAGGTGAAAACGCGTGGAACGATAGGCCGGCACAGCAATAAACACACCACATCGTGCTTATTCGCGGCGGCATGACTCCCACACTGCACAGAATGCTTGTATGAACAGTTCAAGTGGAATACATATTATGAGGAGGGAACGCAGTAGGTATAGTATAACGAAAGAACAGCCACTCATGCAGAGATGTCCATGTCCTGCGCCCCATCAGCATCCTCGGGCAACTTCGCCAACTCCTTCACCGGAGTCCTGCCGGTGTTATGACCCGCGCCTGACCCCTCATCAGGTTCCTCTTGCCCATCCGCATCGCGATCGCTTTCCCTATCGGTCTCAGCATCCGCCTCCCTGTGATCTCTGGTGGCGAGTCCGTCAGCAGCACCGGAGGGAGCATCGGTGCGCGTCACGATGGGTACCATGTCAACGCCAGCTTCGGCAGGCTTGCCAAGATCGGTGTCGTGGGGCGTGGAGGATACATCCACATGTGCATTGCCGTCGGTCTTATTTTCGTGCCCGTGCGGACGAGGAACAGGCGACGTGCCCACCCCACGAATATCGGCAGCGAGAGGCTCTGGACCAGCAGGGGAAGGGCCGGAGTCAGCACCATGAGAGGTGATGGTCACAGTCGGAGATGTGCCGGCAGCAGGACGGCAAGGCCAATACCGGTGTGAGCGTCGGAGGAGGTGACAAAGACCGAACTCCCGATTCCCCCGGCACTGCCGGCACTGCCGGCAGTACCGTCGGTACTGCCTGTACCGACTCCGAGGCCGCTGTCCGACCAGTCTATTGGCACGGAGCCTATAAGACGTTGAGCACGAAAGTGGCGCGCAAAAAACAAACTACGCACCAGAAGGCGACGTTGACTGCAAATCCTTATGAGTGCCGAACTGGCCGAGATTGGCGATGCGTTCATAAGGGTCGGGCACACCCTGCTGACTGGGACCGGGAATACCAGAGGTGTGGGCTTGAGGGTTAAAGTAGCCACCGTTCTGTGTGTACTCATCTCCGCCATGTGCAGTGAATCCAGCCGGATACTGGGCGAAGGGGTTCACTAGTGAAAGCGTTATCAGCCGATGATACGCAGGGAGTGATCATTACCGGACGTACCGGTGGGGACTGCCGGCCATATGAACTGACTGCCGGCGAACATATTACCGGTATTATCTACACGTCCGCTCTGTTAGCATGCCGGTAATTCAAACTAATGGTGCTTACTAGGATACATAGCAGCCTTCAGAGCCGCGATTTCGTGCGCCATCTCGTGGATCTGCGCTTGCATCGCGCGGATAGTGGCTTCCATGGTGGGAGCGGCCACCAGTGATTCTGGCTGGAAGTCGCGCAAGGGGTCCACTGGAACGCGAGTTGTCAATGGAACGTTTCTAAAGTTGTAACCTGGCGCCGTATAAGCCGACGCCAGGTTAGGGGAAGCATAACATACCAGGCGGTGGAGGTGGCTGGTTGCGCGGATCCAATGCCGGTGACGGAGGGCGTACATGAGACTGCGTCGATGAGACGGACTTCGACCTTCCGGTAACGCGCCTCTTCTTAGCAGCACGTTCGGAAGAGCTGTGGTATCCTATGCCGAAGACATGAACATCGACACACCAGTGATAGATCCGGCCAAGCGTGTAATAGAGGAAGTGGAGTTACTCACCTCCTTCAGCCTCGGTCATTTTTTCGTCATCGTGCTCGCCGTCGCTAGCATCGTCTTCGTCGATCTCGTTGCTTTTTTGCCGTGGCACTGGAATATCTGGGTATAAGCACCGAATGCCGACGGAAGATCACCGACTGCCGATTGCCGACTGCCGAACAGGACAACATGGACCGGTACTCACCGGTATCCTTGTCGGTGTTAGACTTCCTTCCCCTCCTGGGTTTCGGGTAGTCCTCAGAGTTCTGCAAAATGACAAAATGATAAGGACCCTCGTGAAGAACCACTGAGATTGCTGCGTACCGGCATCACCTCTACGTCACCAGCGATCCTCCGAATGGGCGTCCTCCATTCCGCCACATGCAAGTCGATGTGGTACTTGGGGTCGTTGATCATCTTCTGCCGCGTCGCCAGATCGAGTTCGTAGAAGTCCCAGTACCAGTCAAAGAACCAGTCCGCGAGTCCCGAGTCCTGGAGAGCCAAGAGCAAACGAGAAACCAATACCGGGTCTGGATACCGCGCCGGGTTCGCCAACTGAACGAAGGCCCGGTATGAGCGGTATGCCGCGGCGCCGAGCCTACCGTGCCCAATGGGCGAGAGGTCGCAGGCCATCTTCTTCGTGCGGCAAGACTTGCAGTACGACCCGTCGAAGATGAGGATCCGGCAGTCGGTGCCGGCAGCCTTGCAACGTCCACACCGGAAGTGTGCCATTGGCTGCCATTCAAACGGTAAGTACAATCGGCTATGAGAGAAACACATTGGCGACTCACTCCGTCCTTTCGAATCACATAGACCGGGATCCGGCCTTTGTGGTCGGGCAACGGGTCGAAGTTCTTCTCCGGCGCGACATGGTCGGGATGAGCGGGTCGGAGGACTCGCTTCACTGGCTTCTTGGTGGTGGTCTTGCCGCTACCACCGCCGGACGGAGCGTTGTCTTCATCACCGGAATTCGTCCCGGCAGTCCTCGTCACATCACGACTCTGGCTCCTCGCCCTCTTCTTCGGCGTAGCGGTGGTCCTCTTTGGCGGCTCCGGTGCCGCTGATGTCGCCCGCCTCGTCTTGGACAGCGGTGGCGTCGTGGGGGTCGCAAAAGACACTGCCTTCTTGGTGATCGAACGTGTCTTTCGTACATCTGAGTGATAGCGAGTAAATACGTTTGGCTGTGATTACCGACGGCACACATACCTTGGAGAGGGGTTTCCTCCTCGCTCTCGTCGTCTTCTTCTTCTTCGTTGCTGACATCGTCATCGGTAGTCACCTCTACCGTTGTCGCCCGACCCTTGCCTTTCTTGTCTTTGGTCAGCTGACGACGGCTGGGGCGGTGTTAGCGTAATTCGCAACGTCATGCCGGCACAGTACGGTACTTACGCAGGCTTTGCCGGTTCAGCAGGCTCTAAGAATACAATTAGATCTATTCTGAATGATTTTTTCCGGTACTTACTTTTGATGGGCCGTGACATCCTCGGGTTAAACCTCTTGCGCGCCCCCTTCGCAGGTTTTGCGGTCTTGGAACTCACGTCCGTCGTCGTAGCACCGGAAGCCGTCGGAGAAGCGGCACTCTTCGTAGTACCGGTAGTCTTTGAACTACCGGTGTTCTCGGTAGCATCGGCAATCTTCGGAACCCCGGCACTCTTCGTACCCTCGGTGCTCTTCGCAGCTCCGGACTTCGTGGTGCTTGACTTGTTAGCTCCTGGGATTAATCATCAGTGGTACTACCGATACTGAACAGACATAAAGCGCACCATCCCCCGTCGACTGTGAGTCTGTCACTGTGGCTTCTACTCAAACCTGAGATTAGAGAATATGGATGGGAGGAAAGAAAGCCGGATGCTTACCGATGTCACACCAACTAAGGTCGACGTCCTGCTCCGGCAAGAGTCCAATCTGGCCGTGGTCATTACCGACTATGTGCAAGTCGAAATTGTACCCAGCCTTCTGAGCAGCCGCGGTGTCGGCAATGGGTACGATCTCGAATGGAGACCCGGCGTATCCAGCGACGTGCCGGGATTTTTCGTACTCGTAGAAGGCGCCGAGGGTGTAGCGCGGCCAGGTGTTTAACTTGAACTGCGCCTGGAAGTCGTAGGCCTTGTCGAGCGCAGCGAAGAACATATTGTACCAGTTCTTCATATTCTCGTGCCCGAGCTTGGTCTGACACGGACGGCGAGAGAGCGCGTAGTGGATTTCGGTGACGGCATGGCGCACAGTCAGCATGTCGCTCTCGGATGGGTGGGTGGACATGTCGGGAGATGTTCGGTAGCAAGGCAGAGAGTGGGATGCGGTGATAAGAAGGTAGAGGCGCGTGTGCAGATGGTCAACTCGGTGGTTGGAAGTGGGAGAGTTTGAACACAGCAGGCGCCACGTCTTTCAACATGCCATCGTTGACGTAAAACTGCTCCGATCTGTATCGGGATCACACGCGGAGGTCGGTCACTGCCGACAGTCGAACCAAACGTAATTCATCCCTCCTCCTCACCCCTCTCGCACGATTTCAACCTCCCCCTCTATCTCAATCCACGCCACTGCAAGAAAAACAATGAAGTACAACCTTCGAGTCCTAGGTAATGTGCATTTGTATAGTCCCACAACCAAAATCTTATTCCCTGTCCTGTCTAGTTCCATCACCGGTCGGCGGTAGGTGCCGGCAATGCCACGTCTGCACACACGGCTGACCTCGGTTGCAGATGCTGAAATCAACACCCAGTACGAGGACATCCTCGACGTGTCCTTCGCAAACTGGGAGACAAAGAAAGCGCCAAAGAAGTTGACCCAACAGTTAATCCCCTCAGACGCGATGACTGTCCGCCAGCTTCTCAGCCGGCAGTTTTGCTCTGGGGTGGCCCCACGGCCGTGGGCTGCCGGGAGCCCGCTCTCGTATTCAAGCACCCCACCGGTCGCCGCGGAAGACCTGCCGCCTTGGGTCTTCTGCGTGGACCACTACTCTGCCGACACTGCCGTCCACATACCGAAGGAAGATGCCGTTCTGGCATTACCGAGCACCTTCCGTTCGGTAATCCATCCCGGCGATCGCGGCACCCCGCTACCATTCTGGCTCTTGGACTTGTGGCGACGTCTGCGCAACGTCCATACGGTTCGGTCCAATGTCGAGCGTGGACTGGAGTGGCTCAGCGAAGTTGGACGACAAGAAGAAGTTGACAGAGCGGTCGTCAAAGTACAGACTGCCCGAATGCTCGACCTGCCGGCGTTGCTGCACCCATGGTGCGACCTCTTCTCGCATCTGACCACGGACGACCGTGACCTCAACGACGAGTTGATCGACGCAGTCGTCGCTATCGTGATGCGTCATACCGACCGCCTCACCCGCCCCCTCCACGTCTATTCCCCTATCGTGACGCAACTGTCACCGGTAGACTTGGTCGACCTCTTCGGCAAACTCGCCGCTCGAGGTGACTTCGCTACTGACAGCATCATCTGCCTCCCGTGGTATATTGGCGGCGAGTGGGTGTTCGTACTCATCAACATGGCAGGTGATGACATCAGAATCGGTTATTGCATCCCCCAACACGACCACGATGGCTTACTCGAGATCGCCATGCGCACTGCGATCCGGATCGCTCACACGGTGGAAGTGTCGGTGCGCCAGACTCGCACCGACTGGATAGTGCGCAAATATCAGCGTGGGGATGAAGATCAAGAAGCCTCCGTCTTGTCTGGGCTTGCTATCGCTGTAGGATTTCTGAAGAACCTTTTGGAAGGGTTGACGGTTTTCTCGAGCGAAACAGCACGAAGACATCGCATAGAAGTCCTCTTTGCCATCTTGGACCACCACCCTCATGTAAGTCTAGATGAAAGTCACTCCTACATCTCTAAACATGATATCATTTTCAGAATCCGGTCATCTTGGAAGATGAGAAGCTGAGTCTGTGGGAGTCGCAGGACACAGTACGGAGTGGGTCGTTACCGGCCACTTCCGACGGGGAAGATCTCCGCTCGGCATCACCGGTATCGCACTCGGTAGGCTCCGCCGGCCCAGGATCCCCCTCCCCACCGCCAATCTTCTCCCGTACACTGGCGACCGATATGGCGCCTCCTCCATCACTCCCAGTCTTTACGCGTACCCTAGTACCGGCCACTTCCGACCAGACTGATCGCCACTCGGTATCACCGGTACTCCCCCCAATCCGCCCTGCCGTCTTGACTGGCCCTCTCCACCGGCAGTCTTCTCCCGGACACTGGTGCCTCCCTTGACAGTCCTTTCCACATCGCCGCCGGTGTTCACGCGGACACTCGAACCACCGTCGTCTTCCTCGACCGCTACATCACCTTGGGCCTTAGGTTTCCAGAGTGGCAAGCGGCTTTCTGACCTGTATGGCGGGTTAGTAGACCCCTTTACGCCCCCACAGGAGGTCACATGCATGATACCTGGGTTTTTCGGTGGATTGGGCCAACTGGACACTTCACTCAGGAGTGATGACCGCCCAGTACCGCCGGAATCCGCCTCGGTCGCTGCGCCAGTCTTCTCCCGGACACTGGCGCGACCTTTGACAACCCTTTCCACATCGCCGCCGGTGTTCACGCGGACACTCGAACCAGTGTCGTCTTCCTCGACCGCCCCATCAAAGCCATTTACCCCCCCCGGAGGGCAGAGCCTGATGGGTGGTGTCTCGTCGTCCTCCCCCCTGTCCACAGTTACGCGACCGCTGGCGCGCTCCTCCAGGCCCGACTCTCCACTGTCGGAATTCACTCGGAAGCTCACCATGCCCGTGACTGCCGAACCGTCTCCTCCGGTATTCAGCCGAAGGCTTGCCATTCCGTCGACGACATCCTCTTCGCAGCCGGTATTCACCCGCACACTCGAGTCGCCGTCGGCATCCTTGACCGTCCCAGGCCCACCACCGGCTTTCACACGAGGGCTCACCGTCGAGTCCAAACCGACGTCGTCACAGCCGGTATTCATGCGAACGCTCGCACCTGCCGACGCTTCGCCACCGGCATTCATCCGGCAACTGGCCCGCCCTCCAACACCGACCTCCGCACCACCGGTGTTCACTCGCACACTGTCCAGTGCTGTGGAACCCATGCCACCGGTGTTCGCACGTAGGCTGGCCGTCCCTTCAACCTCCTCGTCCTCACCCCCGGCTTTCACGCGCCAGCTGGCGAATCCTACCATGGGTCCCACCGATGAGAGGATGAATATCGAGGAGCCTGGGCATTCAGTTGCTCCTCCCGCCTTCAAACGCTTGTTGAAGCACGTTTCCGAGCGTGAACATAGCGCGGACTCATGATACGGAGGTTAAATGACACTTGGCTTTTTCTTGGTTTGTGAAGTACTGCAATGTTTCGAATATGCTTTCGTGCCTTGTATACATAATGCTTTCGTATTTTGTAATGGACTAGCTATGTGAACACAGAACCTGACGTCTGACGGTATGTTTCAATCGTATGACGAGCAATACCGAACACATTATCGGTATCAATGATTACTCAAAACCATGTGCGCACTTGAACCTGTGGAAGACCCGGAAAGGAGCCGCACTTGAAGAAGACACAGGAGCATGGCGTACACTAGTCTTATCGCTACGGGTTAGCCTCAAAATACAGGATAATGAAAGGGGATCGAGCAGGCAGCAGTACTTTCCGTAGCCCAACGGACCAACCGAAATATGCGGCAATGTACTTCATACACCACCGTAATTCCGATGTTTTCCGGCGGACAGGGCTCGTACAGCCGTCTTCGGCGGGGGACACACTCGTACAACCTCGGGTAATAACCAGGATTTCCTGGTTGTAGAGCTGTACTTGTTCTTTACTCGTCACTTGAATACGGCTACTGATAGGTCGCGTTTTATTACCACCACCACGGAAGCCCTTAGGGAAACATCACCTGTCCATGCATTTGCAATACCGAGGCCACTGCCGAGATTGCCTTGGATAACCGCAATGCCGATGTGTGCCGCCTTTGGGGAGCTCGTACGACCGTCTCGGACGGGGTACATGCTCGTACGAGCTCCGGCAGTGTTTGCATCGCCGCGGGGTAACCACCGCACGTACGGCCGTAAAACAAGTCGGTATGTGATCAGGACGGCCGTGGCTACGTACTAAATGCATTACAACAATTCTGGTGTGTGTCGCTTGCCGGAGCTCGTACGACCGTCTCGGACGGGGTACATGATCGGAGCTCGTACGACCGTTACCGACGGTCTACATGACCGGAGCTCGTACGAGCTCGTATCACCGTTACCGACGGCAACATGAGGGGGTCGTACCGCCGTTACCGACGGCTACAGAGGGGGAAGGGGGTCTGGGTTGGGTGAGGCCGTTTGGTTTGTTCGGCCAAGCGCTTATGTGGGCTGGGCCGCCCAGAAGCGCCGTATAGTACATTGCTTATATCCATGTAATGACTTTGAATAACCAGTCCAGACTCGGACACGATCATGCCTCAATGAGCAGCCTCATCGCTGCACAGGACGAACAGTTGTTCGCTTTGATGACAAATATGTTGAAGGACCAACAGGAAAGTTCTGGGGGCTGAACGACGTGACCCCCAGCACTCCCCCAGCACATTTTTCTCCCAGCGTGCCATCGAGAAAAAGATGCGTCGTGTGCCTGGAGGATGATGACGATGCAGCCAGTGAACATGAGGCTGCCCTACGGAGCAGAGTCAGCGCGTGGGGGCGACGAAAGAGACCGAGTGTACGTACGACGTTATTCTAGCAGCAGACAACGTTCGAGTTGCACGACCCGCCGCCGACTCGGAGGCCAACGACCGCAATCGGCGAGCAGTCGACCCCTACGAGCACGTCGACGACGATCCCGAGCCGCCCGAGCAGGAGCCCGAACACCGGGTCGTCCGCCTGCGGAGTGAAGTCAGAACGGGCTTGGTATTGCAGGGGGCGGGGAGAGTGGAGACGCGTACGCTGTTTGCGCAGGCTTGCTGCACTACACAGGCCTGGTGCTGCACACATCCGTCGGCGCGGACGCGGGCGCGGGTCGGCGCGGCTGCCCTAGCTGACGTCGGGCTCTCTGTGTGAAGATGGTGTACCCAGTCGAACCCCGCCCGCCCGCCTTGCATCGCACCTTGCGTGTGCATAAGATCCGCGTAGCAAGCATCCCGGTCTCACCAGTTCGTCCTCGCCTTCGAATCGCCTCCTCGACTCAGCTCGCCTCCAACTTCAGCCTCGGCATCCATGTACGCGCGCACCGTTGTCATCTCCTACTTCGCGCTCTCGCTCGCACTCCTTGCTGCCGCCATGCCCGGGGGCCCGCCGGCGCCGGTGACGACCAAGGTCACGGGCACTTCTCCCTCCATAGTATTCACACGTCTTCAGAAGCGCAGGAGAGCCAGTATGGACGAGTACTAGTGAATTATCTCGCAGCTAGGTCGCAATAACAGTAGGAGGGGGATGGGGAGCGATGAAGAGCGGAGCCAGAGGCCGTTTACTCTCGATGGTCGAACATGATAAACGCCCAAGATCACCTTCCCGATTTGGAAGCGTTGGCCGAACACATGTTCGGCCACTGGTTCGCAGCCTGGGGGGCCCGCGGTAAACGACCTTTGGCGCTATTATCAGGGGTCCTCATGTACCCATGTGGCTCGCGAGGGGTCCGTCCGCTTGGCAGGTGCTTGCTGTGGGCTGTTCGCGGGAGAAACCGCCAAGATTTTCCTTTCTTGGACGAGTTATACTCACCGCCCATTGGTGTGGCTTCTGTTCCTGATGGCGCTTGTGCAGCGCGAATATCGGAGACAACGGCTTCGATCACCCGATCGTGCACTTGGAGTCTCAGCACGCAGAATAGGAAACCCACTCTGACACGCACAAAGAAACATGCAAAACATTACGGGAGCAATTTCCACGCGAGCGAGCGTCGTGGAGGGTGGCAGAACGGCGACGAGGGCTATACCGAAGCTCACAGAGAGGATGGCTTCAGTGGCTGCCGATCGAAGATCCTCGCTTCAGCACGCGCACGCCGCAGAAGCCAAATGAGCGCACTCACCGCGTAGAACTGACCCCACCCCCACACGCATTCCCCGGCGCCCGCCTCCCAAAGGCACTAGTGATCCTCCTGTCCAGGTTCGTACACCACCTTTCCGTGGTCCCTGGGGATCGTCTTGAAGCGCTTTGCTCCTCGGCCGCCCGCAGTCTGGTGGCGACAACCGTGAGCGCGGTCGACCCCAGAACGTCCTTACGGCAAAATAAACACACACTATATCGGTGGGACGGGAACCGTTCCTGCGCGTGAACCAACAGCGACGAACGCGCGGCCGTCTTGAGTGGGCGCGAGGTCGGGAAAGTCGCCCGCGACTGACATTTCGGGTGCCTGCAGTCGCGCGCGAGCCCCGGCCTGTTCTGCAACTTCACGTACGAGACCGCGCGCAGTGCAACGATGGTCGTCCTCCTCCTCAGCGCACGCGCGCACGAAGACAAATCTCTGCGGGGTTGAGCGGGAAGCCGTCGACGTGGACGGGCATCGTCTACTGCTCCAGGTCAGCGTACGTCCTTGAAGCAGCGTGCCCCCGGCCGAGGACGCTGTAAGTGGAGGGAAAGAAACGAGGAGCAGCGACACGCGATCCAACATCATGCATCGGACCGGTGCCGGGCCGCTCGGGATATGGCATGCAGAGCGGCAAACAGTCCAAGCGAAGGAAACACATGTAGACATTTGGCAACACCTCTCCTCAGCCAGCCGTAGCATGAGCGGAGCATACAAGCAGGCGATACCACATACTGCAGTGCGCACAAGAAGCGGGGGGCACCACGGCGGCGCGAGTCTCGATCGTGTCCTCTCCGTCCCCTGGTCGCGAAATTTCGACAGGTTGCGCGCCCTCGAGGCCGTCGCCGGCGCGCGACTTCGGGCGACGGCCGAAGCGGGAGAGCGCGAGCCTCGAAGGGGATGCGCCGGCGTTGAAACAGCACCAAGAAGGCGGAGACGTAGAGGGCGGCCGCATGTGGACGACCAGCAGCCCACAGCGACAACGTACGTCCCCCTGGGTGGGCCGTGTCAAGCGGGAGGGTGTGGCCGACGCTCTCGGCTGGGGAGCACAGGTTCTTGGAGATCTGCCGTTTACCGTCGCAGGTCGCGGGAAGGAACGCGCAGAGAGCCCAGATCCAGAACTGACCTCGAACCTCAGAACCACACCCTCAAGACTCGCGCCTAATACCTCGCCGTCAGGACCTCCCACGTCCCCCCAACGCCCTCGCCCTCCTCGCCCTCCTCGCCCAGGACCTTCCGCAGCCCCCACAGCCTCCCGCGGTCCATCAGGAAGTCGATCCGGCAGATGTCGAGCACGCCCTCGGGGCGCGCGTACCACCACCACCCGCCGCGGCGCACGCTGCACGCGCTCGCGACGCACACCCGCGCGGAGTGGCTCAGCGCGGCGTTGTAGTAGTCCTCCGCCGCGATCGGCGCGTGCAGGTGCGCGTGGAGCGCGGTGAGCAGCGCGGCGAGGGTGAGCGTCGGCGCGGGCGCGGGCGAGGGCGCGGGGTCGACGTAGAGGAACCAGGGGAGGTCCTGGTGGAAGAGGCGGAGCGAGGGGCGCGAGGGGTGGAGCGCGAGGGGGACGGGGGAGGAGCCGAGGTCGTGGCGGGTGGTGGAGCCGTCGTGGGCGACGAGGAGGACCTCGAGGGCGTGCGTGAGGGGGTTGCGGAGGTTGTGGTCGACGAGGATGATGGCGGGGTCGAGGGGACGGTCTGCGCGCGAGCAAGGGAGCCCGTGCTGAGATGGAGCGAAGGGACGCGAGGGATGGACCAAGTACGCACCGTCTACCACGCTCACATCCTCTTCCGCTGGTGGCCACTTCACGCGCTCCAGCGGCGGCTCGACTTTCCGCCCAGGGTGAACCAGCCTCGACCAGGACGGCGCGAAGTCGACCCTCCACTCCGCGGGGGCAGGACGCGTCGCGGCGTCGCGCTGCCGCCGCTCTCTCCACGATCCGCCCATCGTCGTGATCGTGGATACCGAAGATTCCCTCTGGACGTGCGAGCTGACGAAGCTCATACTTGACGCTTCGCAGGACTCCTCCGAGGGGTGGAATGACCGCGCGGCGTGCCTCGTCGCTGCGGTAGGTGTCTCCGGGCTCTCCATCACTCCCCCAGTAGATCTCCAACTGTATTCCCGTTCTTCAACCGGCGACAGCTTGCTCGTCGACGCCGTGGGGGGCTGGTTCTCGGGATGCGACCTCGGAGGAGTCTTCGGACGGGCCGCATCCTGAGTCGGACGCCCCGCCCTCGCGCGCCGTCCCCCGCCAGGTGTGGGGTTGGGGCCGCCGGAGGACGAGGACGTGGTCCGGGACGTCCTCGCCGTGCTCGCCGACTGCGAGGCGGTGCGCTCGCGCGCCTTGCGCGCGTCGCCGGCGAACATCGCGGGATCGAACGCGCCGAACACCGCGATCGCGGGCTCCGCCGGGAGCGGCGGAACGGGGGAGTCGTTGTGGGGGCGCGACCATGGGCGGGAGGAGGAAGAGGATGAGGAAGCGACGGAGGGGGCGCGGCGGGACGCGGGGGTGTGGGAGGTCGAGGGAGAGTGGGACGACGAGTGTGACTTGTCCGTGTCCTTGTCCTTGCCCTTGCCCTTGGAGTCTTTGGACGAGCCACGTGGGGAGCGACGGCGATTGCGGTCGGTGGGCTCGGCAGGGGTCGCCCACTTCTGCCGGCCGATTGCGCTCCGGGAGGACATGTGGGACGGGAGGTGGTGGGTGGACGAGGCGGGGATGAAAATTCGGCCTCAAGTTGGGGTGCCCGGTGCGGGGTCGCCTGGAATTACGGCATGCGAGGCTGACGAGCTGGCGCACCTTATCAGGGTCCATTCGTTGCCATGTGCAGGGATGTGGGATGATGCAGGGAAGCAAGCCAGAAGGCATTTTAGTGCGCCTCGTGAGACATTCCTGGCCGTCGCACGGCATGGGTGACGAAGCAGAGAGCTTGCTCGAGGCCAACGGGAGGAGGAGGAGGAGGAGGAGGAGGAGGAGAGCAAGATCAACGCTCGAATCGAGATCAAACAGTGCATGTGGAGTGCCGCGCGGCCCGTGGTCGGTCCGACATTGTCCGTGAGATGACATGATGAAAGGGCGCTTTGTATATCCTCGTCAGCTGTTCGCTTCGCAAGTCATATTGCAAGTACCGACTGCTCCATCTCCAAGTATCCGCACAATAGAGAGGTTTGGAAAATTGCAATTGTGCGCGATTGCAATGAGTGATGGCGCGTTGGAGTCCCGTCTCCAATGTGACGCCACCGTGACCGGGCCAGGCGAGCGCCGGGGCGAGAGATGCGACAACACGGTCCCTTACCTCCAAACTGAGCATCCAGCGACTAGTTCAACTTGCAGCCAGGACACCATGTAACTATGAAGGTAGCCACGGGAAGCAGACGAGTGACGACGAGATGAGAGCACAAGCGCGAACCTCACCAAGGCCTGTCACGCTGCACATGGGTGACGGGCGTTTTCGAGCGGGCCGCGATGCCGTGGAGCGGTGGGTCCGTCCCAACGGATTACAATCGCGCGCAATTGCCGTTTTCCAAACCTCTCTAATACTGTATGAAAACTTGTGGGTACTCAAGTACTCACATCCGATTGTGGTGACCGGCTGGGTCCAAGGAGCGAGTCCTAAGTATTGCTGGGAGCGATATTAGCGCCCCCGGTCGACACCTCCGCGCTCGCGGATGCAACGGAGGACAACCGGGACGTAAGAAGCGTTTGAAGGAGATTACGAGTACGAGAGACGTAATATGCGTGATAAAAAGACATTGGGACTAGACATTGAGTGAGAGGACATGTATTGCCAGTAGGAGATACAAATCGAGAAACAGCGTCCCGACCGTGCCCGTCTTCGAATATTGCTTGGCGGTGCGCGCTTGCAACGTCCGCGCGTTCCTGGCGATCACAACCGGTGTGAGGACGATGGAACGAGGCTGGATGTGATGTGACGGTACGGCAGACCGAGAGTGAGACAAGGCGTCAGCAACAGGTCAGAAAAACAAAAAGAAATCACGAGACTGAATGAGCGATGGGTGTGCGGATTCGGAGAGATGTCAGAAGGAGCGTGGAGATGATGTGAAAGATAGTTCAAGAGACGCGCTGCACATTCATTCAAGATCAGCGACCACGCGCAGGCGACAGAACGAATGCACTCACCGCCTTGTAGGCACTTTGGCCGGTAAGAGACTCAATCATCTTCATTAGGCCAGATCCCGAAGTGGTTTCGAATGCGCAGAAACTGCTCGAGGAACGTGTCGTCAGTCAGGCGGAACCACTGCTTGGTCGAATCGGATGCAGGATGCATCTTGATGATGGTAGGAGTCACCGTCGTGAAGTCCCGGCGATACAGCACGACCTGGATTCCTGGACCACGGGTCATCGGGGCGATGCGAGTCGCCAGGCAATACATGTCCTTGTCGTGTGGAAAATGCTCGAAGTACAACTTAACCTGGCGGAAGTGGTTAGTGGTGGAGTGCTTGGCCTCGACGGCGACCACAGGCTTCTTGGAGCCGTCCAGGAGCTTGACGTAGATCATGAAATCGGGGACAAAGGCCGGGCGTTGTCCGGGAGCGTGTTTGTCAACGGGCCTGTTGTACGAGTCGGTGGAGATGTTACGTTGAGCGTCGGGACCAGAGCTCGAGCTTTCATCCTCGGTCACGCTGCCCTCGACATACTCGACTGGGCCGCATTCGTAGTCCTAGTCAGAGCTGGCATCCTCAGACGAGTCAGCATCCTCGGACGAGGTGTTGTCGTCTGCATCATTGCCGTCGAGTAGGCGTTCGTCTAGGGACAGCGTCTGGGTGCCTGGCGTCCTGGCAGAAGCACTGCAAGAAGGCGGGGTGTTGAACGAGGACGGAGCTGCCGTAAGAGCAGAACGTTTAGCGAGCTTGAGAATACGAGCATGGGGGTGCACCCCCAACCGCGCAACAGCAGGAATCCAGTAGAAGAAAACCATGGACAGCACCGATTCTAGGCCGCTTTCACTGGTCGTGTTCATGACAGTGATGTTTTCAGCAGCCTCCCACAGCCACGGAGCGATGCATGCCTTGAGCTCTTGGACAGAGGTCTTCGACGAGATTAAGAGTGTCAGAGATGGACGATACACCAAGAGAACCTCGAGGGGACGTACGAGTCGACGTGCAGAAGGGTGGATCTCAAGAGGTTTGGCGTCCAAGAGCAGGTTGAGAACCTCGTGGAGATCTTTCTCGATTCCCTTCCGAGGCGTACAGCTTTGCAGAGAAATGACACATCAGTACGTAGGCCAACTGCTTTACAGCTTCGCGAACCGCTCACCGAAGCACCTAGTAGACGGAATATAAATGAGCGGGTGAATAAAGAAGGTATATCTAATATAATCGTGCTTACAACTAGTTGAATGCATTCGATAAGTAGTCCAGTGGCGCGAGTCTTGAGCGCGCCATCGATGGAAACCGGGAATTCCTTCAGTGGATTGGCAGCGTGTGTCTCACGAGGAACCTGGGGAGACCATCAGAACCGAGGTTTCCGAACACAGTCTTGGTGTGATACTACTCACCGAATCGGATGGCGATCGGTTCGGTTCAACACGTGAACCGGGGGGATCTGCCTTTGCGTTTGAGGGACTGGCGGCCTTGAGAATAATCTGTGGGGGAGAAGGCTTGACCGGTGGGTCCGCCGCGGGCTCTGTCGCAGTGGCGGGAGCCTGAGCCGCTGACAACAAGCCGTTGACGCGCTGTGGAGAAGGAAACAAAGATCTGAGATGAAGTGCACGGGAGGCACAGCAATGTACTCGCCAGATGGATGCGTATCTGTTCTAGCTTGGATTCTGTGCCGCCGAGGATTTTCCAGTTAGGATGAATGTTTTTGGCGGCTCTTTTGGCACTGGACAAAAGGGTTGGAGAAGCGATAAGTCAATACAGGATAATGCATGAGCGTGAAATACGCACGTGCAGGACTGTACGCCCAGCGTAAGATTAATAGGTCAAGGACGCGGAAAAAGGCAAAATAAAGAACGCACAAAGGTCGCTCTCACAGCCATCACATCTGCTACAACGCCCTCGAAGAGCTCTGCGAGCGGCGAGAGAGGATTGGCCGTTTCGGGATCTGGAGCCTCGAAAGTGTGTGCCTGCGCATCTTCTCCATGCACATTGGCGGACGTAGTGGCGACAGGCGGGACCTCGGAAGCCGGGATGGTTGGCGTGTCCGGTCTGGTTGCGGTAGCGTGCGATCTGTGATTGAGCGTCAGTGTGGACGAGGTCGGGCGGCGAAGAAATGGTCGAACGTACGTGTTGGGAGAACCGGCTCCCTGATTTCCATTGTGTGTCGCAGCGTCGTTAACAGTCACTGATCGACCACGACGTGGAGGGGCGCCCCCCCGAGCCCCACGGCCTCTGGGTGCATGGCAAGGTAGTGGAGGGGAGGGTTGAGAAGAGTGGGGGATGATGAGAGCAGGTTGCGGATTCATGGCGGAGAGAGAGGCGTTATATGTGTGACGAGAACAATGAAGCCTGCGCGCACCAATATTTGTGGTCCTTGAGAGGAAGGTGGTCAGAATCAAGTGAGGATGGCTGGGACGGAGCGCCAGCGGCCGGCCTCGGCCGACCACGTGACCGTGTTCGAAACTGCTCCACGAGCACGAGGCGGAAATCGAACGCATTGGGCGCCCAGACGGTACCGCGTTCCTCTCCGCATCTCACTTCCCGCCACTCGCTCTCCTCCTACCATCTACCGCACTAGAGCTCGCCCATCTGCAATATCAATGTCCATATACATCGGAGGCTTCCTACTCGGCGTTGAACACTTTCGCCATCTCAGTGTCCGCGCGTACGGCAACGGCGATGTCGACCACCCTGCCCTAGCCTCCGAGTACCTCAGCGACGTCGATGAGTACTTGTACCAGCACTTAGTTCTGGACTGTCCGGAAGTCATCAAAGTCCGTGACTACGACACGCCTGGAAAGCCCGTCATCGGTTACCTTCTCACCTGCCGCATCGCGTTCGTTTGGGAGGGCGAGAAAGTCCCCGACCTGTCTCTCACAGAGGACACCCG